TGTAAACCAGATTGTTCAGGTCTATACCTCACGGGTAACTTCAGGCGATCAGCATTCTCGGTTTAAAGAATTCATGAGGCCTAACTCCAGCATACGGCTCATGATAGCCACTACCTCTTTGGGCATGGGTGTAAATGTGCCGGACGTGAAACGAACTGTTGCATGGAGATTCCCAGTCAGCATGGATATAGCAGATATATGGCAGCGAATGGGGCGAGGGGGGAGAGGAAAAGGACAGACCAGTCATGCCTTTCTATTTCTGAATAGTACCTTTTCAATGTCGGCAATTTGGCTCATTAACGTATTTCCGTGCACATAGCTATGGCATATTCCAAAGCTTGACAGAGTCTCTACCACTCGGCGCTTGACACCAGATCCATGTAGATAAGCCGAGAATAAAGCAGCAAAGAAGTTGGAGGTCTTTAACGTATGAGAATGACATATTATACTGAGGATAACAAAGATTCGCCGGTTGACAGTTAACTTGTTGGCATTCCACGTATAACTTTGCCGTCCAGATCGAGAATTAACAAGAACCTTTGATAGAAGCATGTACCAGATTGGTGCCTGTTCCTGCATGTCCTTAAATGCTGAGTTGAAGTCCATCGTATTAAGATCCAAATCTGGAGAGAACCTGCCAAAGTATGGTGTTTTGATAAGTTCTCTCAGCTCTTCCTTAAGTTGTTGCTGTACCATCTCATGATTCTGAAGAAGGTTTGTCCGTAATACTGCACGATGTAATGCATTCCGTCGCTTTACACCAGTTGCATATCGTGATGCAGAGAGAATGTATTTATCGCTGACCCAGGCAGATATGAGACCTTCAATTCCCCAGCGTCTTTCAGCCATAAATTGTGTGAAATCCTGCAACCTGCTGATAGTGCCACGGTTGCGACGAGGGCCTTGTTTTTGAACATAGTATCGGCGTTGGGAAGGACTGTTGTTGGACTCATTGTCTAATCCAGAAGATTCCTCAGTATCATCCACTGTCTCATAACCATCATTGGTGTCTGATGAAGGAGGAGGTGATGATAACTCAGAAGAGTATGCGCCGGACGTGAGGTCAAAGAGGCCAAATGAGGAGGTATTTTCAACTGGAGTTTCCATGCTGGTATTAGGCTGTGATAACTTTTAGGATAGTACAAGTTGTAGATAATATATAAAAGAATTGAATGGTATGGTTTTCAGTCAGAAAACCTGTGTGGTTGATGTCGATGTATGCCTTCGCAGATAGAGGATGAATTTGTATGGTGGAGATTTTCAGTATCACCAGAGGGGCGACCGTTCTTTCTCAGACTCTCTACGAGATATTTTTTGTTGCTTACGTTGCTGTGTTCTCATTGGTGCAGAAGTTAGCAGGACTTGGCAGGTGATCAAAGAAGTTAGCCGGGCTTGGCAGGTATTCAAAGGAGTTAGTCTGTGGCTAGTTTGCAACGAAAATATCTTGAGAGAGGCTGAGGCACTGAGATAAGGGATATTTCCTTTTCTGGATTTTCCTCCGCTACTTCGCACAGCACATTGCCAGCCACCACCTCATTGTATAATACAAGTTAAAACGTCGAGTAATGCAGAAATGTATGTACAAAGGAACCACCATATTTTGAACAGAATTTCGTGACCCTGAAGGTTTTCATGAAAGCACCTTCAAAAGATGATTTCTGGGTCGTGGCTGCATTCTCGGTTGTGGATGAGGCCCATCTGCAAGTTGGCACCCCAGTGGTACATACCCATATTAGGGCCGGGCGGTCATGTGCACAAGAAATGAACGTATATGGTAGCTGGAATATACTGTCCTTAAGAAAGTTGGAATTGGACATTGCTGAGCAGTAGTAGCAAATGAAGACGTGTCTGCGAAGACGAAGAAGCTTTCTTAAACCACCGGAAAAATATTGACCCGGTACACATTTACCCAGTTTAACACTTCTGCTCTTGGATAACCACCAACCGCTGCCTGATCTGGACAGCCCCGAAATCCCCATCGCATCAATATTTTTCCGAAGAATAACTAGAGGAGATAGTTCGTCTTTACGCATGATTGCCCCACGCGTCAGTGCCCAATCTTGCAATTCAACATGTAGCGTCGTTCAAGGCTCCTTGGGTTGGGTGAATTAATTGCGATGTGACCATCACATGATACGTAAAGCATTTCCTGCAACTTGACTTGGATTTACGTTATCCCTTGTGCTACTTGTTTCAATTTCTTGTACTGTTTTATTAACTGCTATTCTTGGGCCACCTGTGGTTTCGGCCATCTGTGTTCGCTTGTCTTCACCCTTTCATATCACCAGTTCGTTGCCCCTTTAATACTTACAGTGTTAGCTGATGCGAAGCAGTCGCACTTTTTACGCCAGGCGCTCGATACCCGCGAACGACCATTTTTGAACCACGAGACAATGCCCCACGTACCAAATTAACTGACGTCGATCAACCTCAGCGTCCTACCAACGATTTTAAGATAGGATTTTGCGGTCTTTTGCTACTTTGGGAAAGGAACACCTTCCGAATACCGGTGTCGATATAAAGAATTTAAAATCATGGCTGGAACCGAGAACGAAGATCCGGGTATTCCAGTTGATGATATTGCAAATGACCGAGAAAAGCTCGAAGAGAAAGCTAAGATTGAAGTATGATAAATCTAAACCACAAATGCTATCTTTACTGATTCATTCTAGTCGGAGGAAGATGTGGTTTTAGATCCCGAGTGGATAGATGTGAAAAAGTTTGAATCATCCCCTAGCGTGCGCGCTGTTTTGTTGCGAAAGCAAAATCCCGCCGGAGGCGTCGCTAGAGTTGAGGGAAATCCATCAAGATATACCCTAACGGACAAAGTAACCGGGACTGTTCTGGTCGCCGCAAAGCCCGGAGAAACAATTGTTCTGTTAGGCTACCCCTCTGTTCGGTGTTTCCGCCGTCGAAGCCGATGAGAGATGAATGTACTGGACAAGCTCAACGGCGACCATGACCGATAGCTGCACCTTTGCACTCCATCCAATCTTCGAGTCGATTTTTATGTCAATGGACGGCGTCGCGCCATACCACGGGATTATCAGTTGGATATAGTGCAACGTTGGGCAGCTTGACTGGTAACCTTGCAGCAAACCGAAGATACTTCTGAATTGCTCTGGGTTGGAAGACGTCGATTGATATTTCTGAAGAAAACCGATAAGATGCATAATGTCTAAATCGATAACTGACTGAGGGAGTTGATCTGCAAGAAGAGATATCTGGAATCCTGGTATATCGTCCACTGTCAATACCATTTGAGTTTTGTCATTTTTATGAATTTGGCCATTCGACTGCGCGTCTGAGGAGCGTCTTTCTTCCTCTCGTGTACTTTCTGGTCTCATTATATTAATACACATTCATTATAGTGCAAGATACACATACGAGAAAATGTATTTAGAACACCTTTCGCACGGCCCCCTTCATCATGAACGCCCGAAATTGGGTCCACAGATTGACCACCGCTTCCATAAATGTATTTGTCGTGTAGGACATGTGAGATGCGCTTGCGTTTTCTTGGTGGTGGGTCTGAAATGTTTAGCTCGTCTTTGATCGATTTCTCAATCTCGTACTTGTCACAAACAGTCTTCGCTATTTTTTGTAGTCCTTCCTTTTCCGGGATATCTTCACACCATGTCCGAAGCTTTGGAAGGAACTTCCGCTGATCAAGTTTCGTAAGATTTGTGATAGGCCAAGGTAGCATGCATAACAGAAATATGGTAGGCCGTTCAAGATCTGAGTAAATCTGCCGCAAAAGTTTCCGGACTCGTAGTAACCTGTACTGTTGCGAAACAGATACCTCCTTGAGAGATTCCACCACGTCGGCGCGAAATAACTCACAGCAAAGGCGGACCGATTCGAGTTGATCTTCGTTCAACCTGTCTGTACCTTCTGCAAAACTTGCTTCCTCTTCGCTAATTCGCTCGAGGAATTCATCCTCTAGTACTTTTACAGTCGCCATAGAAAATCGGAAGCCACAAGTAACGGAGAAGAGGCGTGGAAGAGAAGATATGCGAAGGACTGCGAATTCATACAAGCTGTTTAGGAACTGATCATGGATGCGACAACCTGATATTAAATAGGAATGCATGCGAATAACTGGGAACGCATGCGGACAACTGAGAATGCAAGCCAGCAAATGGGCCTCTCGAATGAGCAGCGACGAACGACCAATGAGAAGCATTAGTGAGAATAGGCGAAAATGCATGCGAAGGAATGCGAATGCTGGCGCCGCCACACAAATCGATCGTACCTTTTTAACGTATTTGCACCGATGATATTGGTATGTACCCCAGATTATCCCACTACTGCAAGCTACTACAAGATTCTCTTCAATCATCTTCAATCTCAAGCAAAAACTATTCTTGCCATGCAGCAGGGTGCAGGGACAACAAACCTGGCATCTATTTTGTCAAATGAGTTGTACTGATATTGCATGCCGAACTAAGGTCTCCGTCCCAGAATAAGGAGTGGTACGGTTTTCACGCTACAGCACGGACGTTGCTATTGCAAGTCAACCCTTTTGGCCCATTGTTTGCCAATCGGGTACGGCACAGCTTCAATACATTGTCGTAACTTGCGACGCCTTTTATGGCCAAGACAAACATGCATCTTTTCTCACCGATCTAATTTCATACGTCCAGAGACAGTGAACCATGGAGTTTACGATGATGAACCTGGATGCTGGGTCCAAACCCAACGGTCTAGATGGATTTTCATATCGACATCAGTCGACAGGGTCGAGATTATGTATCCTGCGGCACAGTTTTATGCATCCCTTAATTGGGAGAGTGGCGGCAAGCTCCTCCCCTATCCACGTGGCTCAAGCGAAAGCGGAAGATGACGAAAGAATATGTGCCGGGGAGTATTGACAAAATGGTATATAAGGAGCTACGATCCCCTCCGAAATCCTGAGGCAACAAACAAACATTCAAGATTCGCAAAGACCTTATCAAGCCAGTTCTCCAGCCCAGTTTCTAAGACCACCAACTACCACCATGTCTAAAGCAATAAAGCTCAATGGCAAGGCCCCTGCCAATACTCCGCCGGCCCAAATGCCTCCATCCACCCCCATCGATGAATGTCCCCATCAAAGCGTGACAACAGGAGATGGGTATCAGCATTCCGAAGCCAAAGAACTCGTAGAAGCTCTTCGCGAAACCAGGGCGGATTGCACCATCTCCAAACCCAATCCCTCGGAAGACACTGCAGGTGGGTGTGCCAGCCCTAAGCAAGATGGCAAAAAGGTTGTTCCGGAACAAGGTAATTGATATCTCAACTGGAAACTGGGAGCATATGCTGACATGTGTTCAGAGACTGTGTTGAATAATGCTTCTAAGCTGAAGCCGCAAGAGCAGGAGATATCCTTCTCACGCAACCCCGAATCAGAATCGCCTGTGCTTATGGATAAATATGTGTCAGACATACCACCCACTTGGATGGAATGTGATCCCATATTTATGGATAACGAGAACGTTGGTTTCGATCCTGCGATGAAAGAATGTTCCGAGATGAGAACACCTAAAGCTAGCGAAGAAAACATGGAGCAGTCAGGCACGCCGGTTGTTGATGCAGCGCAGTATGCCTGGGGTGAACGCAAGCCGCCACCTACCGACGCATTGGCTGATGCGGACAGCTGGGTTGCTAAAACCCGCAAAGAAAGGGGAAAACCGGAGGATTATGTCAGGGCACGCGCAATTGCCAACCCCACTGACTCTTTCGAGTATTTTGCGGAGAGTTCCCAGGCTCAGAACGCTTGATCCACCGCGGAAGTCTGGCCAACCCGATGCATTCTTGAGTCTCGGTTTTATGCTTATATAATGGAAAATTTGATGTTAATGGTCAATCTGGGAGGCCCTCTCGTGTTTTGTCTGGCGAGATGTTAACTCCTAGTTGACGTTCTCGCGAGGTGGACTGGGACAGATATTCTATCTTTCTGCTTCACGTTTCTCTGTCGGTAAATTGTATCTGATGATAACGCCGCTTTAATGCTGAATCTCGATGAGTTCGCCTTCTATCAGGCGCAAGATCCCCCTTGGTTGATTTTATACCGTAGCTCAATCAGTGATAGAAGTTGGTCAAATTTTGTAAACATTGCTTGAATCGTACGAATCGCGTTTGACCGTCTGTACATTTGCGTTTTCCGAACAGTTCATTAGTTATTCTTGTAAACCCCATTTCTAGATGCACATCAACAGGAAGCCTGGAAGACGATCCCTAAATCAGTCCCTATTTCATTAGCCAACAAATCCCATACATGGTGCGGCCTATTTGCGGTTGCTCCCAATTTGTCTTGTGGGGGGGGAGAGGCAGTGTAGGTCCGAAGGCATATAAAGCCAGCCCTCCTCCCACTTTGTTTCCCTCGCTCGATCTTCCCTTTTCTCCTCCTAAAATGCCGCAGTTTTCACTATGGCGCCTACGATTCAAAACTTAGCCCAAAACGAACCAATGGTACCCGACGTCCAGAGCGATAGCTCCCAAGCACGCCAAATTTCGGACAAGAAAGGGTCAAAATGGTCCTCAGAAGAAGATGTTCTGATCATCGAGCTTCGGCAACGCGGAATGGCGTGGGGAGATATCAGCAAGGAACTCCCCGGGCGAAGTGCACTGAGCTGTCGCCTGCACTACCAGAATTACCTTGAGAGGCGGAGTGAGTGGAGCGAGGATCGCAAGACCAAGTTGGCCCTATTATATGAAAGGTGGAAACGGCGTGATATCTGATGATAACCGGCTCTCGTACTGACAGAGCAAGCAGATCCAAGCCGGCAATGTGGGCGAAAATTGCAGAGGAGATGTCCATACCCTGGAGGGCCGTTGAAGCTATGCACTGGCAGCTAGGAGAACAAGAAATGGCGAGACGAGCTAGGACAGTTCCGTTCTCTTTCTCTCAACCCGCGTCAAAACCCCCCCGAGTGTCACGCTCACGTCCCGTCCGGCTCCCTCCCTTTGCAGAACTCGACGCCGCATCCCAAACATATGGAAGTGAACTGCCAAGTTCCACAGACTGAAACCGCAGGCACGCAGATACTCTCCCAACGATGGGTCGTCCTTCAGCGGGAGATTGGACATGGAGGGCGTGATTATCACCGCAGAGGCTTAATACCAATAATAGCCGTACGATTGGGGTTAGATACCGCAGCGTTCGATGAATGTCTCTGCTCAGCAGGGCTAATCGGACGACAGTTACGGTTCCGGGATATGTTGATGGCTTGTATTTATTCTTTGGTCCCACCGCGTGAGGCCCGTTTCTACGGATCTCCCCGGCTTCCATGTCTGTGGCGATTGTATACGCAGGACCGGCCTTCATTTGATTTTCTGTTGTAGTCCAATAATTGATGGAAGTTAGTCAAATTTTGTAAACATCGCTAGTCATACATCAACGGGAAACGTGGAGGGCAGGCGCCGTTCCTCCGAGCCTGCTCAATACGCCCTCATCCATCCGATCCCTGAAACTGTCCCTAGCAGCCTACGAGTCCGTGAAACGGTGCAGCCTTTCACGGTCACTGCTCGTCTGTCTGGAGGGGACCAATTAGCGTAGACGGGGGCTGAAGGCACAGGACCCAGCCCACTTTGCCTAGGTCGGTGAGATGCGCGTACCATAGGAATTGGTGCAAGCATGCCAAGCTCCATCTTCCATCAAATACAGATCATTTTGCCTGCAGAATGGGTAAGTAACATCCGTCTCTTTATGACTTGGTCTCTGACAGTTATCACAGAGTTGGAATTCATCGTAACCTCACAATGTTGCATTCTCTCTCTGATTAACGCTCCAAGAAACCCTGGATTCCCAGAGGCTCTCCGGAAATTCTCTCAAGGCGTAGTAGGTGACATTTCTCATCGCTGCCGAAGGCGCAATGGACTTAGAGATGATAGCAAAATCTGGTGAACTTATGGTACAGGTGAAAGATCAATCCTAGCCGTCCTCATTTCGAACCATCCCGGTCGCTCCAACTAAACATTTCCTTGATCACGTTGTTCCCCTCCTGTTGGTCTGCTTCCCCCACCTCGTACTCCAATGGCTCGCGGACCAGCCTCTCTCCCTAAATCGTGCCGAATAATTTCATCCAGTCCTGCATGGATTCGGCAACCGCGACGGCCCATGGTTGCAACGAGTTGTCGATGTACTTATAAAGTCGGTCAAGCCTGCTACAGGGAAGATGTCAGCCAGAGTTGTCGGTCTTCTAACTCTTATGTATTCAGGAAATAATTACCTGTTCTGGGCTCTAATCCTGCCTTTCGTGTCAGTTGACATTTTGCACTCTTGTTGGGTTCACTTAGCCTGCGGATCTCCTCCTGTAGGGCCATATGAGCATTGCTCTGTTGCGTCCTGTAGGGCAATGGTAGCGACCGGCCGGATGTACCGGACGATGCTCGACGCGGAGATGGCCTTGGGGGCGGAGGGAGGAAGGGCAACCTGTCATCCTCGCCACCGGGGTGCTTGACATCCGTTGGAGTCCTCTGATCAAGTTCTGCCTGATCCTCAAAACAGGGAAAGTTGCCTCCTGTATCGGCGGCATCTCCCTGCTGGTTGTTCAACAGGTCAATGGATCGACCAACGGAGAGACCGGGCCCGGCCTCGGAATCTGCATGATTTGGCAAGTAGGCCTGAGACTAGCTGCCTGTGCTATAGGGCCAGGTACTTCTGTTAGTTATCGATGGGGCTTTGGAGGCTACCAACTTGGTTTCATATGTTCATTTACTCATTCAAATTGAGCTCCTGCATTCGCAGTTAAGTGTTTTATGTTCCTGCTTGCGGCAGAAAAGAGTCTGACGAATGGAGACTTCATTGTAATTTACAACAAACTAAAAACTGCTCTGTATAGATCTATGACGTCATCTCACTACTCTGCTATCTCTCTCATCCGCTATATAAGGAGCGAAGGGTCCTATTTACCCAAAGGCTGATCCCATCTTCCGCACTCCCTCTTCCTAGATGCGCAGCGGGCCATTCTGTGACGGACGACAAAGAATTCAAAAGCAGTCACCTATTTTACTAGAAGTGCCAGCCAGGTTACGGCTGAAATGAGAAATGATTTGATGGATACAACAAGTGGAACACAATAACCGTCAAAAGGGTCACTGGATGACGTCATAGGTAGAGAACCAGAGTCATGACATTAAATGAGAGCGGGATCTCACATGTGGATCTAGGCGATTGCTTCCATGAGCTATTTCCTCACAAGAGGATTCTCCCGAGAGGCTCGTGCGTGATCAAAATGCGGGGAGATCCTGGGGGCCTTTGGCCGTGGGTCCTTGGTCGCCAAAGGACCACAGAAATCGATTCAATGGCCTCTGCCGTCCACAGGCCAGCATGGCCACAAGTTGGCCGTCTTTGGGCCTACCAGGTCCATGGACCGCGATCCATGGACCCATCAGGCCTATTTGCTCCTGCCTCCAGCATGGCAACCTAGGTCACTGGACCTACTGCACATGTCCTTAAGCCACATGATGTAGTCCCTGGCCTTTTGTCAACCTTCTTCTGCCACTGTGCCTCTGTCCTGATTGGACTTCAGCCCTCAGGAGGGCGAGAGGGAAGCTCGGGGTTGCGCCAGTCGTTCATTGAGCTCAAGCCAGTTATTCAGCTTTGCCGGTTTCTGGCCATTGGGATATTTATATCCAGGGGGATAGACACCATGGTTGATGAGAGAGATGAGATGGAGTTTCTCATTCACATTATACCCTTGCTTCCGAGGTCAAGCTATTCGTGGGCCGAATCGCATCCTTTCCGCCAGAGCTCAGATATTCCTCTATCAATAACCCTTCTATATATGTTCTATATCTATGCACTTGTCGGGCCTTTCCTGACCCTCCTTGACTTCTGTATACCTATATGCATCCTCAAATAGGCAAAATAGCATTATCTGTGTATCCAAGCACTTGACAGGCCATTCCTAGCTCTTCCGTGATTCTGTATGTTTGTGTATATTCGAGATGCCGACGTGGCTGTCATTAAAATTCCGTGACGTGTGTGACATGCTCGTTGATGTGAATCCGGCCGCGTCTCCTTGGGGCTCTAATATATACATACTAGCGCACAAGCTGACCATGTCGTTCAATGTGACGTGTTCTTGAAGGTATGTTCGAAGCTGTTGGTGGTTTTGTCATTGACCATATCCGCCCCTTCTATTCTGCTTTCTATCGCGTGATTGTCAATCTCCATTGCCGTAAACTATTGTCGGGCAGGAAAATGAAACCTCCGGGCTCGTTTTCCATCGTAGGGCGTACGTGGAAGGGCCGACACTCCCTTCGTGTACTGAGGCTGTATGTTTGGTGTTCGTGAGGCCTGGGAGTTGTTTTCAGCGCATTGGCATGTTTTTGGCAGGGTGTATTGTGTTCTTGAAGATAGATTCTATTCTACTATGGACGGTTCTATCCAACTAACACTGAACCTACGCCTTACATAAATTTGGTACAGAGTGACGAACGTCTTCGCGCTGTCTTTTGGCTTCCATAGGTATCTCTTGTACAGCAAGCTATAGGTAATGTTCCACACAACTCAAAGGTACACCTTGTGTATCACCGCAGCATGGTCCTTGAAATGTGTGGTGCCCCACATATTCTCCGAGCAGGCTGGATGGGGACATGGAAAACAAGCGTCTGAGGCAAGATAGCGGAGATGGCAATCATACACATGCCTCCGAAGCTTGTCTGGACGTGAGAATGAATACGGCCTTGAATTAGATGCCCGCTGCTCGTTCCCAAGGCAAAAAAGGCACTGGGTCGCCGGACAAACGGCAGGGGTCATATCACCGTCAATCGAGCTGGGCTCCTCTTTCAATCCTACGAGTTCGCAACGTGAATCCCTCTGCCTGTGAGGGATCCCTTGCAGGTTACAGAGCGCGGTCCAGTCACGGATTACCTGCATCCGATGAGGATGGGGCTTATGCTCCTCCTCCGTAGAGCTAGCGAGAGATCGAAAAAGACTGCGTGAAAGTCGAGCTCGTTCGACACAGGTAAACTGAACAACGGGATCTTCCACCTTGAGGTCATCAGCGAGCGACAGTCCCAGAAGCTGACGTTCGATCTCAATGGTGTCGATCTTGGCAAAAAACTCCACCCGGATGTTGTCCCGCGCACGTTTCCTCAAGAATCGTCTCTCGCTCTGAATAGTCCTCTCCAGCTTGCCATGTTGGGCGTGGAGGTCTGTGCCCTGAGCCTTTGGAACAGATCCGTATTGGAATCTCATGTCACTTGCCAGGTCTTGCTTCTGGCGGTTGAGTTCGGCAAGATGGGGGTCATGTTCGATGGCAGCTTTCTGCTCGTCGGTCAGCTCCTTGGGAACCCTCGGGTCCCGCGTCAAGCTCATCATTCCGACGGCGCGGATGACCGACTCGCGCGCTGGAAATCCAAGATACGCGGACTGCACATCGCGTTTCACCTTCTGTGAGAGGTAATACCGTTCAAAGATGTCGGCCCGAGAATGGCCCAGCACTTGGTTCCGCTCCGCTGCCGTTGCGACATCTACTCTCCAGTTAGGCGACGATCCAGAACATGGAGAATCAACCGTAGCAGCTTACCATCCACCGCATTTGCCGTGCCCCTCCTGATGCAGTAAGGAGTCAGCGGATCTTCGAGTCCCGCGTTGCGGCCCAGCCGCTGAAGGTACTGATTGAACGCATCATACGGTAATGCACGATCGGGCGAGATGCGCACTCCATGTGCGGTGTGGTAGGTGCGGCGAACGATCGGTATATCGAGCATCTCGGATCTCCACCTCAGCTGTAAGCTGTTCCGGTAAGGGGGAACCTCGATGCGAAGGATGTCCTCCGGCGAGTCGATTCCCTGCGCCTCAAAGGCTCGGTCCGCGAGCGCCAGCGCAAGAAAATGCGAGATCGCGCACAGAGCCAGGTTGTCATCCCGCTCGTGGAATATGTATGTTGTCCTACGTCGGAGGGTCAATACAGCCATACGGCCGAGCAAAGCGTCACGCCACATCGACCGGGAACGGAAAGGGGACCTACGGCTGGGACTTGTTTCTTTTTCCCTTCATAAACATCAGAGTCACCTCCATGACCAGAACGTGACGCCCCGGTTCCTCCGGATTGGGGATGACACGGAGCACCACGTCCCGGTACCGCAGAGCGTCGTTGGAGCCCCGAACGCAGCCGCTCTCGATGAGCGCTCCTGGACGAGAAGACATGTAGGCGGTCATCAGCATCGGCAGCGGCAGCTGCACTGTATACCGCTCGTGTGGAACCGCCGACGTGTCCAAGCACCAGTGGTAGTGGAGGACGGACAGCAGATCCTCAACGCTGAGGGTGGGCTTGCATTCGACCGAGAGATCTAGGCCGTATTCATCCGTCAACGGTCCCAGGATAAACTACATGTGTGGTGGGTGCCAGTTAGATACGGGAACAGGAGAGCCAGGATGGTGTGGTGGGACTCACCTCACTGACCTGCTCCCCAACGACCTCATCCATCTTCTTTCCAGCGACTCTCTTGTAGAGCAGTCGGAGGAATTTCCACTCCACCCAGATAGTGCTCTGCTTTGTGACGTTGAACTGGCTCAATCGCCAGTCGGCATAACGTCTAAAGTTTTCACCTGCACATGCGGTGAGATAGACATTGCTGTCCACCCCCATGAAAGCACAAAAGCTACGGAAAACAACATCAGTTTGATCACCTACGCGTCGCAATAGGGCTTACCGATCCCAAAATCTCTGCACACGGTCGACGGCCTTGGTTGTGGCATCGGCATACTTTTTGCCGGTGACCAGGAACCGAGCCACTCGAGCGGCATCCCTTGCGTGGTAGTCCTCGGGGGTGAGCTGTGGTCGTTCCGACTTCAAGCGACGGCGACATCTCTTCGCACTTTTACCTTCTACAAATTGGAAGTGTTGGATGGCCATCTTGGTTGCGAAAATAGAAGCTTGGTGTAGTAAGAGAGACAGAAAGAATAGGGATCCCAAGGAGAAGTGTATCGGCGGGAATGAGGAGTTGTAGGAATCGCTCGATAGCGAAGCGCACGATGGTATTTATACATCTTGAGAAGGGGAACAAAATGGAAGGATGCTCGAAATGGATCGCACGAAAAGACGGCTGCGAGCCCGGAAATAGATCCCTTCTCGGACCACGAGCAGAACGTAGCCACGGCCACATCTCTCGGAATCGTGGCCTCGTGGTGTTCTTCTCTGCGTCTCTCCAACCGATGTCATCCTTGCCCTTGAGCCAAAAGGAGCTTTTCAAAAGGACGCTTCTGTCAAATCGTTATTTCGAGCGATCGGTCGTTTTGCTGCGGCGCTTACATGCTCTCGGGCCACGTTCTTGAGACCCAAAATCGTGGCCATCAAAGGTTTTGACTTGTTCTCCACCAGCACCACCGATTTAAAACAGGCTCGTAATGTAGTAATGGCCGGCCGGTTGTGTGAGCCGCTAGAAAAGTGGTGACTGCTAGTAAAGTGGTGACTGCTAGTAAAGGGGTGACTGCTGTGATGGAAGCTAACGGAACACCCGAGGCCAGAGGAAGTGCCGTCATCGACCTGGGTTGCGTTCCTGGATTTCTGGATTTCTTTTGCCTGCTCCCACCTTTACCCTTTCTATTATTTTATGCGTCTAATCTAGTAGAATATTCGCGCTAGCGTCGATGCCTGTGCTGGTCTCTTACGCATCGGTCTTTCAGGCGGGGGCACCCCTTCGTTGTCCTGTTACAGAAATCGCCCTCCAGCAGGGCGACTGCATGGACCCCCCCGCAAGACAAAAATCGTCACTTCTCATTACCGCCAGCAGAGCCGTGGACTGCCTCTTCACCTTCTCACCTGTTAATCTGATGTCTTTAAATGGCTCGAGATCCTCTAAAGTGAGAGCTTCCTTGTCCTTCTTCTTTCGTCACCAAGATGGTGTGTCATTTGTCGGGACACCACGTCTTGGCGTGCTCCTGGCAACACACGAGGTGGTTGTCTCTCACTGTCCTATTCCTGCTTCCATCGACAGAGGCCATAAGCGCCACAGCATACACGCGATGACCATCGAATCATGTATGTTGACCCAAATCGCCTGCTGGCTTGCGTAAAAAACGCTAAAAAGTGAAAATGCAAAACTGCAAAATCGCTTTTTCGCAGGAGTGCAGAAATGCAAGCGGCACCAACGCGCCAAGAAACAGCTAAGCTTTAACGGTCAAAAGTTAGCTCCTGGATGATAGGTAGAGAATCATTAATTCTATTTAGTATCAATTAGAGCTCAACTATCATCGCCTCAATATAGGATCATATAACTTTTTTGGGCCTTGCGGCATTCCAACAATCTCATAAGTACACCTCGTATGATTTTCCAGAAAATCAATCTCTTCGCCAAAGATGCTATATTAAAAGACAAAACAAAGAGCAATTCACGCTATCAATACGCAGAACTTTACTAGTTTACAGCATCTGAGTTATCCTGTGCTTGCTGAAGTGTTCCAATCATGTTCCGGGATAGGTCGAAATTTGGTTTCTTCCACCGTCCGCCGTCTGGAAAGACAAGGCGCTGTAATCGGTTGACGCAAGGGATCAATGATTGATAATACGGAGTAAAGTAGTCTTCTGCAATTCGAAGAAAATCCCCCTCACTTTTCACTCCTTGCTTCGCAGCCGCCAGCTCTTCAGTACTCATATAATTCCATTTCTCAAACCGTTCGACAGTGATCCCCTTCCCTGGGCCTTCATAGTGAATGCATATCCAGAAAAGAACCCAGAAGAACGACTCCAGATCATGCATGAAACAATGGTTTTCGCCGTACAAGACACCGATGGCCATGAACGCTCTGGTGCCCGTTTTGCCCCGTGCGCCGGAAGACCCATCCCGTTCTAACTTGATTGCCAGGTCAAGGTCGATCAGAAAGGCAGGCCATGATGGGTTGTCCTTGTCCTCATTCACCATCAGGTTCCGGGGGGAAACGTCGCATTGGATGAGGCCAGCCTCATCATGGAGTGACATGTATCCTTCAATACAGCGGGCCAGCCCAGTGAGAAGTGGAGCCTTCGAACTACTCTCATAGATTGGTTTCCCGTAATCCTGGATAACGACGCGGCGGTGAACTCGATTGAATGGGCTGAGCCGCCTGCAGATTTGGATGGAGAACTTGAGTGGGTACGCTTACTTGGGGGAGGAGGAAATGCCTTGTCCACGCAGTCAGAAAATCGCTTCTGGCCGGCGGTGCTGCCCTGGCTCTTTTTTCCTCTTTGAGACCTACTACGCCGCACTCTCGCGTTAAAGCCACCCTTCTCATCTTTCGAAATCGGAATACCGAGGCCCTTTCTGATAGTCAAGACATCATCATCCTTGTTGTCAAAGCTACACGAAAGATCAGAAGTCTAGAGGGGGAGAATAAGTGTGAATAGATGAAATGTCTTATTTGTTGTAAATTACAACGAATTCGGTAGTGTACAGTACTGTAAAAATTCTCATATCTTTTGAATGGCCAGTATGACCGCAATTAATAGTAAAATGACACCCATGGTTTTGAGGTATGCTTTCGATCGTGGGGCCGAAAAAGCGGGCATCCTGTAGTCATAGGACGTTCGTTGGAAATATCCAAGGAGGCCTTGCGCCAAGAAGATGACCGAACATCGGGCAGGGTCGCAATCGGCATACAGACGGGGATATGTGGATCCTAGGGAATTGCTGTCCGCCCGAAGGTTGATGGTACCTGGGTTCTTGATGCGTCGACAATTTCCCTTGCAGAACTGCCGCAGAGCCGCATCTTTATTCTTGGTCCCCATAAAAAGAATCACGTGAGGATACTGTTTGTGGGAGGATAACGTTGTTGTCATTACTAAAACTAACTACGCGAGAGCAACACAATATGTTGGGGGGCACGTGATAGGGTAGCCGTAGTACCACTAACACTGTTCTTGGGGGTTTTGAAGCTCTTCGAGAACACGAGCAAGGCGCCAGTCGTAGGACAGGAGAGGCCCAGCCTCCCCCTCAACAAACCCCACCCAAGAGACGTGATCGCACGGCGACATATCTTTTTCTGGCCTCCCTCTAGGACGTCGTCACCAGAGGGCGGTGGTAATGGATTTTATACCTGTTCCTATGTTGGACACCCGAAGGATGCGTGACCAGGCCACGGCAGTAGGTTTTGAGCTGTAGAGCAAGGCAATCATATCCACATTGGAGTTTTTGACAACCCCGCGCCAGTCTGCAAATCCTCCCTCATATCAGCGTCACTGGGGAGTTTCAGACTATATCCGGGGACTTTCAATTATTCTTCATGGGAACTTGACTTCCGGAAATTTGTACCCTCAAAAACTATGACCTTGCCAATGAGTTCAATTCTTGCGTTTAACTGGCGAGGCGCAGCTTCCCCAAATATATTTCAAGAACAGTCTATTGTCACCACACAGACGGTTCCTTGTTTCTTTATTAAACACGAAAGCTTTGAACCGGGGAAGCGCCATACATCATTTGTAAAGCACGATTTCTTTCAAAAAATAAAACTAAAAGTCCGTCATTCAACCCATAGTGTCCTAGAGAATAAGGGATACTTTCCCTAGGAATGGCATTTGGCATGACCAGGCCATGGCATTTTAGAGAATAGGGGATATTTCCCCTGGAAATGGCATTTGGCATGACCAGGTCATGGTATGCTAGAGAATAGGGGATATTATTCTAGAGATTGTTGCATATTTTATCATGACCATACCATTTAATTTTTCCAAGAATGGAACAGGCTATGGAAAATTTGCTTGTGTTTCATGATATCTCTCACATGTGTCATTGCTCATTATTTTCTTTGTTCATTTTTTATTTCTTAATGGTCTCTATTAACCACAGTGAAGTAGTCATAAAAAGTTTCATTTCCCTTGGGTTTGGA